TAGAATACATTCTAAAGATTTATATACATATTATGCTTTCTATACACAATTTATTTTATTATATATTCCGCATACAATTTAAATTTCCATACATACAATGTTCATAATTCTCTATCTTCACAATTTATCCATATTTAACATTTTTTATCTCTGTCTATACATTTACCTTCTATTCCATAATAACATTTAGCTTAGTCCTGTGTCTTAGCATGATTTTTTTAGTGGTTCTTTTGTTTAGCAGGATTTTGTTAAATTATTATAAATGCAATTATTTTTAATGTTATAACAATCTTCATCAATGGAAATTTAATAATCCCTGACAATCTGTAAATTTAGAAAATTTTCAATTATTTCAGGTACAATCAATGCTTTAACAAGCCTCAAAATTTATCTAATCACAAGATTTCTAAAAACAAACTTAATCGACAAATTAACACTTGCTTATATAAGAACAGTCACATTGTGAAATCAATTATTCACAAGTGCATTAATTTCCTATTAAAATTAAGTTTTGATATAATGTCAAAGTAGATTAGTGATGTTGAAATGATTCTTATTATTGTTATATCAATAATATCAAGATTTTTACAGAAAACTTAAACAATATTATTAATGATAATTGTAAAATATCTTTAATATCTGGAAAGATATTTGATAACTATTCAATTCTGATTTATATTTAAAATATTACTATATCATATATAATATATCTATTAAACTGTTAAAACAAGGATTAAATAGATTGATTATAGATACTTGTGAGTAAGTGTATTATAAAAAAATATATTTAATAAAATACTCAAATGCATATCTTTTAAATTATTCTAAGTTACTAAATCAATGTTTTAAATAAAATAATCTCATCTTCAATATTAATTACAAGATAAACATGCATGATTCTCATTTAAAGATATTCAAATATAACTCATTTAAATTAAAAGAAATGATTATTTTTTATTTTAAATATAGAAACAATTCCTGTAATTAGAAGAGGATTATAACTAGTAGTTTCAACTTTATCATGTGAATTAAAAAAAAGGGAAGATCATAAGTGATAAAATTTTACCTATATATATATATAGATTAATTTTTTAATTCTAAATCGAACTTTTGTTTCAATCTAAAAAGATAATTTAATATATTGGAAATAATTAACAGAGGTTAACATTTATCCTAAAAAAATAAAGTGATCGCAAACAAATAAGCGAAGAATTTCATTTCGATTTTAGATTTTTTTAATTTGATATTAGCTAAATTTAAATAAGATAATTATATGAATTAAATGAAATTCATGAATAATACAATTAATAACTTTTAAAAAATTTTCAAGATATTTGTTCACTAACAGCCAAGAAATACGGAATCTATATTGAAATAAAGACATAGTTTAATGAAATTAATAAAATGATTTGGTTATTGTAAAATAAAGATCGATATAATTACTTAAAAAAACCTAATTAACACAACATTCTTTTATAATTCATAAAGATATTATATGATAGATTTACTTAATTAATTATTATTTATAAAAGGATTAGTCTTAACATAATAATTAATAATTCTGTAATATTAGATAGAAATAGCAAAATATATTTTTTATAACAAAGAAAAGAAAAAAGATACATCAAGAATATATTGAAAAACTACAGTTAATCTTAGAAATAATTTATACTATGGTGAAGTTAAAAAAATAAGATTTTATGGCATTTGAAAGGAATGTACCAATCTCCTTTGATTATTATTCTCAAATCGATATTAAAAGTATTAGACATTATAAAAGACTGAAAAGCTATCAAAAAGTAGGATATTTTTGAGATTATTAAGAGATAGAAACGTAATTATATCTTCTCTAACCGCCATCTAAGAATCTTAATTACTGATTTACCTAAACTCTACTTGAATTTTTCCATTCATTAAATAATAACGGTTATTATCCTATTATTTACTATTTGCTTTTGAAATTTGAAACATATATTGTCTAAGAACAATGAATNGAATACACAGTTTATTAAAATATACATTAGCTTTCAATTTATAGGTAAGTCCCATCATTCGAGAATTTCGATCAATCAAAAAGAAAGAAATAAAACAACTAAATTTTTAGTTTATCTAATAACTAATTATTAATTCTGATACAATATCCACTCCAAGTTGTCAAAAATGTAATGCAACTAAAAGTATTATGAGCACTGGATGAAAAAATATTTTAAGTTAATTATTTTACAATCCTCTTAGTTTATATTAAATTTACTTCAAATATTAATCAAAATATGTGTATCACAAGCCATACCGTATGTATGATTACTCCATATATTTGGAAAGATTTCAGATGAAAAACTCATTAAGTAGAGGAAAATTGGCATGAAGCTATTTTGGCAATTGAAGAATTCCATAGTAACACTTGACACACGAAAAACATTCCATTAATATATTAAAGCAAATGTTTTTTAAAAGTATTTTAATTTCTAAGAATTTAAGGAGAACTTAACCTATAACGATTTTATACTCCAAATAATTATGCAAGAAATGATTAATTTTAT